GGAGGAGGAGGAGGAGGAGGAAGGAGGGGAAAGGGGAAGAGGAAGACGGGGGAGAGAAGGGAACAGGAGGCCGAAGAGGCCCTACACCAGCGCACCTTTTGACTTCCTACACAAAAAAGGAGTTGTTTGAAGGTGATGCAAATTGTCGAAAGGTGAGTACACTCTCCAAGTGATGGCAAGTAGTGACACGAGTTATAAAACACCTATTTGCGCAAATTATGCGCCATCGATGATTGGGTGGAGAGTCCAGATTTTTGCAGTCAATGTTACCTTGTGATGATACGCTGGTCAATAGCATAAATGCCAAATGCATAGGCATCACACACTAGTTCGAAAGGGGAATCGGCAAAGTGGAGTTGAAGACTTCAACTTAGAAGTGACTTTTCTTTAATCATCTTTTATTGCTTTTATGTTAATGTGGAGAGTTAAAATTGTGTCCCTTATTGAAGATTGTTGTTGAGAGATGAATTGTATGACATTTGTCCGTAATTCGAAAAAGAAGGAATATGGAAGTGTTTGAGTTGTTGATGGTTACCGGCATGAGGGCTTGTGTATAACCCAAACCCTATCATTGGAGAGAAAGAGTTGGAGACTGAGGCGTGGGCTCTAGACTTGGACTGGGCCATGAATAAACCTATCCAAGCGTTACAATAAACACCAAATACAAGGTCCAGACGCCTGTCTAGACGCCTTTTGGCAGCGTGACAGCTGAACTAGGAGTCGTTGTTGGGGTTGGGAGGGGGGGGGAAGGAAGAGGGGTTGAAAGGAAGGAAGGAAACAGGAATCGTATCACCTCCCTTCCCCTCGGCAATCAATGAGGTCATTTGTCTGACGGGTCAGACACGACAAATGCCCGTCTGTTAGCGTTGTGTCTGATAGCTAGTGCACGTCAAAGCTGTGAAGACAAGGAGGAAGGGTTTGCACAGTCAGTATAGAAGATGTCTGCAAATTACACCACAGACTTCCACACACTCGCATTTGTAAGGCCCTAAACAAATTAAACCGAAATCCAAAACACTGTATCGGACAACGTTTAGTGGTTAAGTGAAAACATGGATTTACTTCTTATAATTGTTCAAAATAAACAAATATATACCGAAAAATTTTTTTTCAATTATGAACATGCAAAATGATGAAGTGTTTGGAAGAACCGACAACGCCATGGAAGGATCGCTGAGGCGAAGGGTAAAAGGGAGGAGTGGGAAAGGGAAGGCAGGGCATGGAAGTTGAAAATCGGAACGTTAGGATGAAAAAAACAACAACATAAGAACAGTCGACACAGGCAGAGATGACTAATCGACGTGGCAGCCTAACAGTAGTTGGGCTGCCTGCAATTTCCACCACTTGTAACTGAAATTTGCCTCAGGAAATTACAAGAAATCAATCTTTTTGCCTGCCTCGAGTTGGTGACACAATAAACAACAATCGAGAAGAGGGAAGGGAAGTGCCTGACGTTTTAGTTTTGCTAGTAATTGAGAACAAGACTGCTAATTTGACTCATGGGACAGAGGGTGGAACTACAATGCCGAATCATGAAGGGCAGTTGAAAGGCCAAATTTGATAAAATTAATTTTCCCAACTGAAAGCATTTTGTAAATTGCAGATGGAGATCGTTAGGACTAGAAGTATTAAAAATGTGAAAGGCAAACCTCTTTGTTGAATAAAATAGGGCAGATTGAGCAGTGTTTCATGGGCAAAATAGAAATGCTCCAACGCTTCTCCAACAAACTCGAAATCATAGGCCGTTGAGAAAACAGTGAGATCAAATGAAAAAGATTACAAAACAATCCTCAAACGCAAATGTTACTTGTCAAATGCCGTAAAATCACACTTTGAAGGTTAAGTTGCAATAGCAAAATCATCTGTCTACTAATTACAATGAACCTGTGTAAAACTCACTTGTATTTGCAAGTAATGAGAAGTGTTGCGATGTCTAAGCATATGCTCTAAGAATGAGACTTAATTGCTGCACAAACCTTGCAAGCCTCGCAGACATAAGCGCCGTGATGAAACCCAGCAGCAAGCTCGCCACATATTTGACACAACTGTCCTTCCATACGATTCTGATATTGGTAGAAGGCCGACTCAGGACTAGTAAAGCCGGGCAAACTGACACCGCCAGTGGAGCGAGAAGGACCCTTGTTGGCACTGTCGAGGTCGGTCAACTGTCTGTTCTGTTCTGTTGGAGGAGGCAACTGGTTGAATGCTGAGGATGATGATGGTGGGTGTGAGTAGTACTCCCCTCCCCCATCCATAGCAATGAAATAATTGTTGCCATTGGAAGATGTGGAGGTAGTCATTTGATGATCAGGCAGTTTGTGAAAGAATTGCGAGTTCTCACTAGGAAGAGTTGTAGGAGCGCTGAGGAGAGCGTAGGTGGGATGGAGTGTAGCAGAGGAGGAATCAGGTTCATCCACACTTAGACCACCGGAAGCCCAATGACCGCTAAGACCGCCAGATGTACTTACATCGAGAGATGTTGAAGGAAAATGAGAAAGGCTGGAGTTTTGGTGAGGGGAGGAAGAGGCCGTGACTGTAGGCGTATGTGCCATCTACCTCCACCCAGAAATGTATTCTATGAAAATCAGAACTCGGAGAAGGCTGTTGTCGACACCACCTATGCACATGGCTCTTGCTGAAGGTAATTCAACTGATGCTGTGAGGACATTATTGGAACGTATAAATGTGTTCTAAAATCGGATAAAAGTTGGAATGTTGAATACTCCTAAGCAATAAGCCTGAGGAAGATAAGTGCTAACACCAAAGCAAACGAACAAAGAAAATATATTGTGAGGTCAAAAATTGATAACAAAACAAAGAGAAGGTTATAAACATTGTTTAAAGCAAAAAATATTCATTGAGAGGGAAAGCAAAGCCAAAAATAAAATGCAAAACAGATGTTACGGAAAAAAGACTACGTTTAGCAACTCACTCATCAGGTACGTGTGCAAATTCAGAGCTAGGATATCGAAAAATCGAGCAAAGGCTATGATAAATAGAAGAACCGACAAAGCTTTCGTAAATCCGCAGATATCTTTTGGCCGTTTAAGTGACGAATCTAAACAACTGCTTAGGTATTTGAATCTAGCAAATAAATTACACTTCAATATATTTGCTTTTGGTTTAGCAAATATTTTGATTCCTAAACTATGTTAAGCATTTTGCACAGAAGGTTTTTGATCCTGATAACATTTTTACATTGATTATTTTTCTTCACTTGGCTTTCACTTCTTAGGTTGCTCCACATGTGTCCTAATTGATGCAGTTACACGAATATTTCCCCCTTCCATAAGG